TGAATTGACACTTGCTCAGAACGCTTCCATATTGGTATGTCTAATCATGCCGTTGCTGTTCACGAGAAATATTTAAAGATTTTTCCTATGTATTTCTATGCAAAATTTTGATGGCCCGTTGTGGATACATCATACCCATGGGGCTCATGATCTAAACATTCTTAATTCTAATCTACCTGAGGATGCTTCCACATTAATTTTCCTTTCTTTTTGGACTCTGGTTGAATCTTGGGAAGTGACCTTCTTTTAAACTGACACACTCCGAGGACCCAAGATGCATCAACTGACTAAATTTGATAGTTTTAAGCCAATAAGAATGGGTAATACTAGTATTCCAATTTAGCCATCTTTTGATATATCCATATTTATTTGATATCATTATCTATTAATATGTTCTTTTAAAGATTCTTAGTGTCTACCAAATTTTGATCCGGTGGCAACCTAAAGTTATTACCAACTGATAAACTGTGAGTGACAAGTAACTAGTATATGTTTATAGTATATGATTATAGTAAATGTATATTTTGACCATTAAAGGGAATCGAGGTAAGGCGGCTATGTATCGTGGTACGTATTGCATGACGCTGCATCATAACATACCGGTATATTGCCATATCATTGCACCTCTAATTTGCCCCTCTGTGTCAGGTTTTCATTTAATACATGTTTGGTTTAAACAATATTTATTTTCCAAATAGATTTACACACATGTTATACAACTATACACAATCAAGTAGTAACTAATAGAAATATAATAAAAACAATCATTGCGTTAGTACAGCATACATAATAGAGGATAAAGCTTTGAGGCTTATACTAAGCCTCGCTTCTGTCTGTCATAAGTATCTGCACTGACGATGTAACTTCATTTTAAACATTTATGAAACGGAACAAAATAAATAAACGAAAAGGTAGACCTGGTTTTAGATGAAAAGAAAAGCAGATAAAACAGACAAAAATACAAAAAGAAAAATGTTTAGATATTTTAAAACATTTTAGCTTAAGTATTATCAAAGAGAGGAAATAAAGGTAAGATAAGTCCATGGAGTAAAGTTAAGGGGAAAAAAAAACATTTGAGATGTGTGGTTCTTTTTCAGGGACGAAGCGATGCTTTTAGATTTGTCTTTTGACGTCTTGTCTGTGATATGCATGCTTCATAACCTCTGATCCCCTTTCAAAATTCCATTTTAATTAGTTCCGCCCATTGTTTTCTCGTTAAGGGCACACGCATATTTTTACTTAGGGACCATACGCCGCTTTTCATGGAATGGCACTTACGTGTCACATTGAAGGTTCCATGATAACCGCCATATGAATACATCGGCGGATGTTTCAAAATTCAAAATTGTACCAGTTAAAAGTAAATGTTGAATTCTGCTGAAGCCGGTGCTATGGGGCGTGGAGGGTAGTTTGCACTTCACAGTACCTTCCATGAATAGGCTCAATCAAACCGATCCTGCAACATTTTCAGTTATGCCGTGTTGGGCTTTCTTTAGGAATTCTTATCTTCTCTATTTTAATTAGCGCTTAAATCTTTGTGTATGTGTTATAAAGCCTTGCACATGTTTAAAAATGATTTCGTTTTTGTCCGAGTCGAGAGATTCATTTCCAAACAGAAGAATGTTTTCAGTGATTGGTGTGATATTGCTGAGGTTGTTTAACATGGTTGTTCTTTGATTAGTTTAAATGGGACATGCTAGAAGAAAGTGTTTTGTGTCTTCAATTTCTCCACAAGTGCATAATGGGCTTTCAATGATATTTTTTGAAAAAAGATGCTCTTACAGAAAACTGCAATGCATTCGTAATCTAGCATGTTTGATAGAGACTTCTCTGCATCCAGTGTAATAGTAAGATGGAACTTTTGTTATGTCTCTATTTAAAGCATGTTTGAAAGATGATAAAATGGATGAGTTTCTGACGTTGGGTGCTAAATTATTCCAAGCGTTAAAAGTTGATGGAAGGAAAGAATTGGAAAATAGCTGAGACTTACAGTGGACGTTTCTGATATTTTCAGAATTGCGAAGCCCATAAGGAGTTTCACTACCAACTGATGTTGGAACAAGATTTGAGAGATATTGAGGAACGAGAGAGTTTATTATAACATGTTATAGAAAAAAGTGAGTTTTATGCTTAGTCCTTCTGGTTTGGAGTGGTTCTAATGCAGTTTGTTATATAGTTTAGAAAGAGAAACAAGTTGAGTAGCACCGGAAATTATTCACGCGGCTTCTAATTGGATTCGTTCAATGTCTTCTTGTTCGCCTTTTGTGATGTTGTCCCATACAGTGTCAGTGTATTCAAGGATTGGACGTATAAAGGAAATATATATTATTTCGATAGATTTTCTGTCAAGGGTAAATTTGAAGGTTCTAAGAATATTTATACGCTTCCAACTTTTGTTTTTGATGTCTTGAATGTGGTTTGTCCAGGAGCCATTGTCTGAAAAAGTTAAACCTAAGTGTTTGTGAATACAATTGTATTATTAAAAATTACAGGTGGATGAACTGCTTTATTTTGTTTTTGGATTTTCGGCGATGATATACAAAGTTGTATCATCAGCAAAAGGCGTATGGGTAATATGACACTGGTTACAAAGTCATTGATGTACACTAGACACAAAAGCGGTTCAAGAATAGAACCTTGAGGAACACCAGCTGAGATGGTAACAGTATCAGAGGAAGTACCAGAAACAACAACAAACTGTTTTCTGTCTGAAAGATAACTTTCAAACCATGTAAGGATTTGACCGGAAATACCACTTTGATGTAATTTAAAGAGAAGACCACGGTGCCACACCCTGTCAAAGGCTTTTGATATGTCACAGAAAACAGTCCTGACTTCTATTCCATCATCTGGAAGTTAGTTGATTGACAGTAGAGTCGTTAGGCATTAAACCACCAGATTGCAAGGTCGAGAAAAAGTGATGTTCCTAATAAAAGTTGACGATTTGTTTGTGTAAGATACGCTCAAGAACTTTATTGAGGGCACTAAGTAAAGAAATCGGTCTGTAATTACTAATATATTGTGGGTAATTTTTCTTATGGATAGCACAGACGTGAGCAATCTTCCACTCTGTGGGAACTCTGCCTGACTGTGTGTGTTGAAAAGATTACACAGGGGAATAGATAGTTTTGTCTGGACCTGTGGCTTTGCCGGCTTTCGGAAGTAGAAGTGCATTAGTTACTTCGGTCGGAGTAATTGTAAGAAAATGTAGTTTCGAAGCTACTAGATTGATTCAAGTGTTTGGTAGCTGGTTGTTGGTTTCATTTCGTTGATTTTGCGCTTGGAAGAATTGATTTAGTGCGTTTGCCTTATCAATGTTTGTTTCAAACATTTGATCATTATGTTTTAGTGCTGGAATTTCTTTGGATGTGTTGCTTGGTTTTATAAATTGTTTGATTACTGTCCAAAAAATTGAGGTGGAGATGTCTGGGTTGTTTAATTGTTATGCTTATTTATTAAAATGTATCTTCTTTGCATTGCGCACAAGAGTTATGGTTTTATTGCGAGATTGTTTATATGTGTTCCAATGTTCTTGAGACATGTTAATTTTGTTTAATATACGTTTACATAATGTATATATGTTTATGAATGAATAAATATTTAATAGTGAGCTGAATAGGTTTTAACTTTATTTCTAGTATTATAAATACTTTAATTATGATGAAAGAGTTCTTATGCATATGAATATACATTTCGTATATCCTCTTTATAAGTAGAAAATAAGATTCCGTATATCCACTTAATATGTAGAAAATACAAACGTGTAAATCTCAAATAAACGGTTCGTAAATCAACTGAAATCATCAGTATAAAAAACAAAATTGCCTTGATTAATTCAGTATACGGGATTTTTTTTTTTCGTATACTGCAAACGTACGATATATACGTTCATGTATATGGAGCAAATAAGGAATTCCTTGCATGCATGGTCCTTATACTGACTTCCCGTATACCAAGTATTCAATATACGGACTGGTTAACATGGTCCGTATATTTTACAAATACATGCTCGTATATGTTGAATGTACAGGACAGTATATTCCCGTATATAATTGTATTTTCGCAGTGTGACATGCCATATTATATCTATCACATTAACAAAACGTCGTGACTATGTGCTTTTGGCACTTTTGTGTCCATAACTGAGTTAACATTCTTTGAAAAAAAGATATCACAAGTATCTTCACTGGGGCATTTTTTGTTAAACAAATACATTTTTGTTTCTCCATGAAACTCTCTACAGCTAAATTACATGAAAAAGAAATGACCATGACGTAAATGCCAAAGGTCAAGGATCACAGGCTGTTGTTTAATGATATAAACCGCCATCCTTCCTGGTATTTTCTTGATTGTAAAATTGTGAACGCGTGTTATATTTGAAATTCACCGCATTTATTGACTAAATGACCAAATTAATATGTTTGTTGAATGATAAGCTTATATTTAAACTTTGATAATGCTTGAGCTTTATGTTAGGGCAGTTGAAAAGATTTTTGGTAGTTGTAAGTAGCAGTGTTATAAGTCATATATGATTTGGACAAACACATTTTTTGTTTCAAATTAGTTAAATTTTCTAAATAAAACATGTCGAATATTCGATCTATTAAAATTACGTGTTTTTTTTCATACATTTGAGAGACAGTGCCTGTAATGACCGGATAAATAAGCTGGAGCCATTAACATGGTTCTGTTAAGTTTCCGCTAAACTTTACCCCCAATTGATAGATTAAAAACATATATTTATACAAAAATGTTTCATTTAAACATTTGCGAGTCTTAACTAAAAATTACAAATATTACAAAACAACAATTTTTCACCAAAATAAGGTGGAAGACCACATGTTAATATGGAAAAACTAGATTTTTGGTAATTCCAAAGTTTTTCATCATTTTTTGTTAAATTTCTTTACCTCATATATACTCATCGCCAAAAATTTTGATGGAAAAAATAAAAAAAATGAATTATAAAATTAGAATCACTAATATGATGATCTTGATAATATCACAAGTTATTATTTGTTTAGATAATGACCCAGCTCACATAAGCAGAAAGGACAGAATGAAGGGATATGCTGTCATGGTCATAATTATATGGTTCAGCAGAGGTGAGAATTAATATAACTGAATTCAATATCTCTTGGCAATTTTATCAAATAAATGAAAACAGTTGTTTCATATAAAATGTAGGTATTGTAAATTATGAAATATATCGCAAACTCAATTGTCTTTGTAGCTTTATTTGTCTAATGTTTCTACCATTCATTAAATTCCAGCAAATGATAAAAATAACTTACACACATGTTTATTTATGTACTAAGGCATACGAGTATCGTATTTGAAACTTCCGTCAATCAAAACGAGGTTAACCTAAAACGGCAAGTTTGATTTCAATCCAATTCTTCTTGTACCAATGGCTTCATAATTTGTTCTTACTACTCAATACAAATTACATGATCTTTGCAAATAAGGTAACTATGGCTTCCATTTCTTCCAAGTTATTGCCCTTCTTAGCTCTTTGAAAATTGCTATTGTAAACATAAATCGGCAAGTTGGATATAATGAGTTACTTATCAATAAAAAATACATGATATTGCCAAATTGTGCCATCCATTTTCCCCAGGTATTTCCCTCTTTATCACTTTGAAAATTGGGCTATTTATGGTTAATCTACTCTGGCAAGTTAGATTGTTAAAAAAATTCTCCTTAAACTCATTTATTAAAAGATATCTTCCATATATTGTGGGTAGATACCTTCAATGGTAAATTGTTTGTGGAGTAAAGGGTCAAGGTCATAGACATTGGTTTTTTCAAACATTTTTGCTCATTCAATTTTTATTTCCCCCAGGCATATAGTAATTGAACCGTCCTTCCGTCTGGCGGTACGAGAAAGACCTTAAACGGCAAGCTGGATGTTTTAGAAGTTTTACCTGTACCAATGGCTTCATGATTAAGAGACTTACTAATAAATATAAAGTACATGGTGTTGGATGTTACATAACTGTTGCTTCTATTTATTTAGGAAATAGATATCAATTCTGAGTGCATTGTTGTAGAATAATGCACGGTTTGAGTTCAAATGCGTAGTAATATAATCACGAAGGCCGATAGGCCTGAGTGATTAATAACAAAGCATTTGAACGAAAAACGTGCATTATTATACAATAATGCACGAAGAATTATTATCTTTTTCCATTCTAACACGTCAAGAAAAATATAATTACTATTATAAAGTTGGACTTTATGTTTGGTGGTTTAATTTGTTTTCGCCTCAGAGTTTCCAATAGAAACGTTCTTTAAAGGCTGTTCCAGTGAATTGAAAAAAACTGTCTTTAAATCTACCGTGTGTAGAAACATTTTGAGAATAACGAATTTTGAAAACGTTGATAAAACTTTGTTTGTTTATTTTATTTCAATCTATAATTTTAAAGCGAAATACCAATTATTAAAAGTGAAATAAATGTAAAACGTAACTCGTTTGCGACATTAAAATAGCGTACTTGATTTGATTGTTTTGCACGTGCTGTTTGGCGCTACATTGTGACGTCACGTAAACACGTATTCATTTTCTTAGTTAGACCATTTTCTTTCATTCTAGATAGTTTTCACAACAAAATTCGACAAAAAATGTTTTTTATTTATCAGATTTTTTTAACAAAATGGCGCCCTCAATGTGAATTATCACAGGGAGATAATAAGAACGGCGAGTGCATTGTTGTAGAATAATGCACGCTTCGGGCCTTCTTTGTTTATATAGAAAAAATTCCGATAGTGTTAGAATCAAGTTTTTGACAATCTAAGAACTTGAAAATAGTTATGGTTAACCTAAATAAGTTGGATTTATCTTAAGTTTTATTTATACTAATTGCTTCACACAGACTTATCAATACAAAGTACATGATATTGCTAAACTACTAGTATTTTACTGTGCCATCAACTTTTCCCAGTTATTTTCCCCTTTATCCCTTTGAAAATACGACCTTTTCCGACAAGATTACTTTATTTTAAATTGCTCCTAATTACTTCATTTATTTAATGTTATCTTCCATATTTGACAAGCGGATATATTCAAAAGTCTTCTAATGATTTGTGGAGAAAGGGTTCAATCGGGTTAGCGTAAAGGTCACTGATGTAAAAAATAATCTAAACAATTTTTCTCATACAGTCTTAACTTAATATCTTTGGTTTATACAAAACTCATATTAGTTGTGTAGAAAGCTTTAAGCTTATAGCCATACCTTTAAATCTGTCCCGGGAACCAACCAGTGCTGAGCAATGAATGTAAAGGTTCTTGCTTCAGGACACAACGACTTGCCCATGACGGTGTTAGAACCCATGCGGCTGTTTATTATCAGATTAGTCTACTGCCTGATATCTTTCAGTTTTGGTAGGGAAATAAAAATTGAGGAATCTCTTTTTTTTCCTTTTTAAGTTGAGTCAATGTCATCTGTTCTAAAATGAATATTTATAATTTTGCCAAAAATCCTTTATCTACTGGCAAATGTCATTCATATTTGGCAGTAAGATTACTTGCACGTTTTTTCTTAGACTAAGTAAGGGATCAGTTGGATGAAGGTCAACTTTTGCTTAATAGATTTTTACACTTTTACCCATACTGACTCTATTTATTGCCAGATTCTTTTCATAATTGGCAGGAAGATAACTTGCATAGTACGAGGGGTTATCCAAAAATTCGTGGACTTTTTAAATATCTCTTGAACATCAGCGTGTATTGTAATGAAATTTTATCAGCATACATTGTAGAATATTATTAACACATTTTGAAAGAAACAGTCAATTGTGTCCATAAATAATGATTTTATATTGCTTTTAAATAAGCACATACACGGCACCCGGCGCACGGTAGGAAAAGCAGAAAGTCATCGTATATTTTTGCTAAAACAAACTAAAAAAATAACGTAGAAAACCCGCTGAACATCGCATGTTTCTTCTATGATGTCATTTAAGTAAATCTTTAAAATAATGGACGTCATTTCCGTTTTTTTTTGTTGATATCGCTAGAAACGCCAGACGCCTTTATTGTTTACGACGGGAAAATGACGGACACGCGGTTATTAGAAAAATCGCAAGATCATATAACGATCATAAATTTTTGTTGTAATTTGGGGATGACACCTACAAAACATTTCATAGAAATCAGCAGACGGACAGAGAAAAGAAAATTTCACAATCATTAGTGTTGAAGTGGCATAAGAAATTTAGTGATTTACATAACGTTGAGAAGCAGTTACCATCATTGACTGCGTAACGTTGAAGCACAAGTTGTACGTTAATATTATGACGTTGACGTCAATATTTTTTTGGAGTGCGCCGCTGTCGCCGACATGTGTTTATGTAAAATTAAGTTTTGTTGGACTGTAAAAAGATACTAACGTGAATTTTTCTGTACTTATTTGTTATTAATTCTTTTAAGCAGTGTAAGAATTTCAAATTAATATCTCAAATACATTTTACGCAACAAAGAAAATCCACGAATTTTTAGATAACCCCTCGTAGTCTTGCTTTTAAATGAGTAAGGCGTCAGTGGGTCAAGCTAAAGTGTGACAATATTAGATTTATACACATTAGGCTATGCAACCTTTGTTGTTTGCCTGATTCGTTTCATACTTTTTCATACTTTCACGGTTTTCTTTTTTGGATAAAGTTAGAGATCTGTTGGATCAAGGTTACCTGTGCTTAATTAGATTGTTCACACTTTTGCCCATACATCCTTTATTTATGGACAGATGTTTTTCATATTTGGTAGGAAGATATCCTGTATGATCTTCTGCCTTTGGATTGAGCACGGGAATATGGGGTCATGATCAGGAGTGCCATAATAGATTTCTTAACGTTTGTTAATACAAGCTTTATTTTAAGACAACTGTTTTTAGCTCACCAGAGCCGAAGGCTCAGGGTGAGCTATAAGTATCAAAGGGGGATACTCCGGCGTCCGTCGTCCGTCGTCATGCGTCAACAATCGTCTTCTTCTCTGAAACTGCTGGGCAGATTTACCTCAAATTTGGCCTGTAGCATCCTTGTGGCAGTCACACTTAGATTTGCTCATGTCATTTCAATTGGCTTCTTTTAGGGGCTAAAAATAGAAAAACCTTAAGACATCTTCTACTACAGAACTAAAAGATGGATGATCACCAAACATTGTCTGAAGCATTCTTTGGGTAGTGTTTTATCAAGTTTGCTCATATTAATTTGATTGGCCCCTTTTAGGGGTCTCTAGGGCTAAAAATAGTAAAACCTTTAAACATCTCCTACTACAGAACTAATTGATGGATGATCACCAAACTTGGTCTGTAGCATTTGGATTGTCTTTTATCAAGTTTACTCATATTAATTTGAATGGCCCCTTTTACGGGCCGCTTTAGCTAAAAATTGAAAAACCTTTAGACAACTGCTTCTGAAAAACTAATTGATGGATGATCACCAAACTTTGTTTGTAGCATTTTTAGGTAGTCTAAGTTATCACGTGTGCTCATATTAATTTAATTGGCCCCTTATAGGGGCCGCTATAGCTAAACATAGATGTTTCTTTAAACGTCTGCTTCTACAGAACTAATTGATGGATGATCACCAAATTTTTGTCTGTAGCATTCCTAGGTAGTCATGTTTGCTCATATTAATTTGATTGGCCTCTTGTAGGGGCCGCTATAGCTGAAAATATTTGGAGCAACTATAGCTAAAATGCCCTTGCCCATGGCATTTCTTCAAAATATAGTTTGATAATGAAAGGAAAATAACTCATGTTGGAATGTTTCCATAAATGTGTACCTGCATACATGTGGACTCTCCCAATTTGAGCGGGAGACACCTTCTTTTTCCTGTCAAATTTTTAAATATTTTTCTAAGAATAAGGGGTGTTTTAAAAAAAATAAAGAAATCTCCCTTCTTTTTCATTTCAAAATGTCCTGTCAATTAAAAAATCTCCCTCTTTTTTTAAGTAAATTCTTCCTCTTGAAAAAAAGTTCACATGTATGTACATGTTATGCATAAAAAAAAGATTTAATGTCTTAATGTCATGACCTGTTTGATTTACAGAGATCTGAGGTCAATGAGCTTTGTATATGTCTGTTTATGCCCTAGAATTCAGATGGGCATTGCATCATTCTAAGGTTCATTTGTAAGTCAATCTTGAGATTTTTCCCCAAGGCCTTAAGTGATGTTTCATTTGTTTCTCGTACCTTACTAACTTAAGGAAAGCACATTGGACACACTGTTGACCACCGTGCGGACCACCACCACCATGCAGACCACCACCACCATGCGGACCACCACTATGCTGACCACCACAACCATGCGGACCACCACTTTTACGGACCACCTCCATGGGGACCACCACCCTCATGGGGACCAACCACCACCATGCGGACCGACACCACACCATGCGGACCACTAACATGCGGACCACCACCACCATGCGGACATTTACCACCATGCGGACCACAAACATGCGTACCACCACCACCATGCGGGCCACTACCACAATGCAGACCACTAACATGCTGACCACCACCACCATGCGGATCACCACCAACATGCAGACCACCACCTCCATGCTGACCACCTTCACCATGCGGACCACTACCACCATGCGGACCACCTTCATCATGCAGACCACTACCACCATGCGGACCACCACCACCATGTGGACCACTACCACCATGCAGACCACTTACATGTGGACCACCACTATCATGTCGACCATTACCACCATGCGGTCGACCATCAACGTGCGGTAGACCACAAACATGTGGACCACCACCACCATGCGGACCACTTCTACCATGCTGACCACCACCACCATGCGGATCACCACCAAAATGCGGACCACCACCAGCATAAGGTCCACCACCAAAATGCGGACCACCACCAACATGCGGACCACCACCAACATGCGGTCCACCACCAGCATGGGGAACATCACCATCATGCGGTCCAACACCAAACATGCGGACCACCACCAATATGCGGACCACCACCAACATGCAGACCACCAACATGCAGACCATCACCGCCATGTAGACCACCACCACCATGTGGACCACCACTGCCATGCGGACCACCGCCAACATGCGGACCACCACAAGAATGCGGACCACCGCCATGCTGACTACCACTACCATGGGGACCACCACCAACATGCGGACCGCCACCAACATGCGGACCACACCACAACCTTGTGGACCACCATTCACCATGCGGACCGCCAACACCATGCGGACCGCCACCCTCATGCGGACCACCACCATGCTGATCACCAACGCTACCATACTATTCATAATATATATATAGACAAAAGTAATGTGACAAGACAGACCGATTAAATTTATAAAAGGAAACCTTTTTAATTTGTTCAAACATTTCTTTGTTTGCTTTAAGAAAAAGTAAAAAGTCGAGTATTTCCCCCATCTGGCGGTGGCTCTTGTTTATTCGTTGTGCTATTTTAGTATCAGTTTCAATGACACATTTTGCAAACTTGGTTATCACTTGTTGAAAGTAATTTTGCACTGTTTCATACAATGTATGTAAAGTTGTTTTCATGTTTACTGAATACATTTCATCAAAACAACATTTTGCTTTTTTCCTCTATGTAGTTTAAGATACAATATTTACCATTTCTATTAAAGAGAAAGATAATTAAAGATAAGTAAAAAACAATTAGTATCGGGAAACCTTATAACTAGAGAGGCAAGTTGAAATTGACCTGGACTTGTCTGTCTACAAGTTCATTTAAAAAAAAATATTTCTATAATCACTGAAAAACAGTTGTTTCTGGTGAGCGATTCAGGGCCATCATGGCCCTCTTGTTTATATTTGAGAGGAAATACCTTGGATGCTCTATTGTTAAGAGTCACACAATCATGGTCACTTATGCTTACAAGAGAGTATTTATACCTTTTGCAACAATTAGTTTATTTTTACCAATGTTTTATATTTACAAGGAGCATACCTAAGGTCTTATACGTTTTGTTACTGGGTACAAGGCCAAGGTCTTGCATTTTTATATATTTAATGAAGTTTAGTAAGTAAGTTGATTAGTTTTCAACTTCGTCATAGCAATAATTTGCCAACTTAGAGTTTTCACAATAACAAAACGCCATGACTCTCTCGAGCTATATAACTGTGTTAACAATCTTCAAATTATTATACTGACAAGAATCTGGGCCGGGGATATTTTTATTTAACAAACACGTTTTTGTTTTAGGTTTGTAAATATAGTCGACCTAGATGTCTAGATAATACGTTATACCGCAGAAATACCTTCTATTCGGCAGCTGTTATGTACGATAATTCATGCAAAACTGATATGGATTTGTTTGTTTTAATATCAATTTATCATTGAACAGGTTCAACACTTAACGAATGCAAACCATGCCAATGTTGTAACTATGGCGCAGGCAGTTGCATATTATTCAACAATATACAAGATTATTGTTATAACGGGTGTCGTGACGGATATTTCAGTCCTAAATGTACACATTCTTGTAGAGACCATTGTCTAAAGTGTAAAGAACTATGGACGTGCGACAAATGTCAGGATGGATATTACGGTGAATGGTGTCAAGAATGCCCAAACAGATGTGAGACGTGTTCCAATTGGAATAATTGTGATGTCTGTAAAGACGGATATTACAATGGAAAACAATACTTTAATAGTGTAGAAACTACCACTTGCCAATATGCATGTCCTGCTTCCTGCAAGACATGCTCATCATTCCATACTTGTCAGGAATGTAAAAGCGGCTTTATCATCAAATCAACCTTCAACTACAAAGAAAACATATGGTATAGAACGTGCGACCCTATATGCGACAGTGGTTGTAAAACATGTACGTCAAAGTATTTTTGTACTGAATGCATCAATGGTTATTATCTGGCAAATGAGTATTGTCATAAATGTAACGAAAATTGTATTTCCTGCTCATCACAACAAAGATGTACTGCTTGTATTGACGGGAAGTACAATCATTATTTTAATGATTGTAGATATTCTTGTAAACAAGAATGCAAATCTTGTACTTCATATAACACTTGTGCAGCTTGTGTTCGAGGACGCTACGGGACATCATGCGAACACAACTGTAGCCATGGTTGCTTAAATGGTGATTGTAATAAAAGTAACGGATATTGTCTCTGTAAAACTCGTTTCACAGGTGAAAAGTGTGACAAATGCAATGATTACAAATACGGTACAAATTGTGAAAAAAATTGTCCAAGAGATTGTTTGGATCCTATGTGTGATAGCAATGGACACTGCTTCAAATGCAAAACTGGCTTTCTTGGAAACAAATGTGAGAAATGCCAAGTGGGACTATATGGTCAAAATTGTGACATTAACTGTCCAATCGGATGTGCAAACAATAATTGTACCACTGAAGGTGTTTGCTATAGTTGTAAGTCTGGAAAATATGGAATAGACTGCACGGGATCTCTGCTCAGTCGGTTGTGACTTTAATAGCTGCTTTGACAATGGTGACTGCCCTATATGTAGGAAGTTGTTTACTGGAAGAAATGTGATCAATGTATCGATGGAAGTTTGGAGACAATTG